CATAAATGATTTCTCAAAAGAATTCTTTAAAGTGACAACAATTAGTAATGATAAGCGATACTAAGGATAACGGCAATGAAATGAACGACAGCGATATCAAGAAAAGAATCAATGAAACTAACAAGTCCCAGATTCCACCAGCCTTCTTCGATGAGTGCATCGCATTCATTCGTTTCGCTCGCTGCATTTCAGTCCATTTCATTGCATCTTGCAATTCCATTAATCTTTCTTTGTACTGATTACGTTCCATCAGAACTCGTGCCATTTCGAGGCGTGTAAAACGTTTTCGTTGTGCCATTGGTACGTCATCCTTTAACATTGTTTTTGTGATTATGTTCACCATTATTTCTAGTATTGTAATCATTTATTGTTATGATCTTGACTATTACTATTGATATTATGTTAGTTTCATCATTGTTAGAACTATTAATGTTGTTGTAAGAACGTATTATCACGGTTATTGTTAGGGCATACTAGAAGTACTACTGGTGTTATTACCGCTATTATCATTACTATGGTCATTTCATTATTGATGATAACAGTTCTGATACGATAACAGTTCTCATACGACTATACGTTTGATAGCGTAAACTGCTGCGTTACTGCTTAAGATTTTGAGAATTTCGATGATATCACCATGAAATATTTTCGGAATGAAAGATGAGAAATCTCAGGGAAATCAATGATATCAGATTAATTAAGCGAAATAAAATTATGCAACAATTCTTAACTAACGGAAAGTCATAAAAGAAATAAAATTACGCCACAAATAAAACAACTATCTTTTAACAACTCCTATAAAACAACTTACTCCATCTTCATCACTCTTCGATTCGCTTTTCTCCTTCAAATCCCTCACTTCCGATTCTAACTCTTTAATACGTTCACTCATTTTTGTTCGAACCATTTCCAAACTTCGAATCTCTTCACGGAGTATATCCTGTTCACTATAATAATTGCACAGCTTAGATTCAGATTTGACGTTACTGGAAAGGTTCAGATGAATGTGCTGCTGGAAGTATTTCTATAGAGTTCGTTCTCAGCAGTCACACAGAAAGACACGCACTCTCACTAATATTCAAAAATATTTCGAGTATTAGCGAGAAATTTTCGCGAAAATCCTTTTGAGCGACCAAGGCACACACATGGTGACTTTTCATGAAGTACAAAACGAATTTATTTTCTATCAGTGG